ATTGGCAAATTGTATAATGAATATGTAGTGCTGTAACTTATTGAAACAATTGATTGTTTCGAATTTGATTTGGACATTAATGTCTGAGCTATTGACTTTTAGATAGATTTATTTCACTAAATTATGTAAGACAAAACATGGCAATATATTAAAACATATAGAACAACAAAATAAAGAATACAATAGTAAGGCCTCATTAATGTATGTCATCAACTTAATATAGTAAGGATAACACAAAAGAGAAGAAAAGATACATGTTTAATTATCCTTAATCAAGGTTCATCAGACATTATCATTTGCCTTTATACAATCTGTTCTGTATTTTTATGTATGTTGTTGTTGTTTTTTTTTGCAAATATTTTTTGCCAACTATTTCAAACAGTGAGCAAGGACAAATGACATTAATATTATATTGTTGACGTCAAAATCATCACAGAAAACAAACTCATATGGTCCAGAAAGTTATGTCTCCTGATATTTTTCACATCTATTTTTAGTCAACCTTATTAAACTTCATACACAATGAATGATAAATTACATCAAGAAATATCATAATTTCTGTGGTAACATTATATTTTTCACTGGTAGAAATACTATTTAACTTATTGTGCAGTGTCTTAATACAGACAATGTCCTGTAATTTTTCATATTTGTGGCTAAAAACAGAAAAATTTAGGACAGAAGTTTTACTGAAGTGATGTAAGCAGTTAACCTATCTGATGTAAGGTGATATATATAACTAACACCCAAGACATGATATTTTTGTCATGAACCACTGAATCATGTTCCTATAATAAACATACTTACCCATGAACCATGTCAATACCCCAAATACGGCTATTTTTATCATATTTATACATGCACGTTTGTTTTTCAATATGGATCATATATATAACATAGTAAATTGTACAAATATGCATTTAGCATCTATTTGCTGTCAAAGTTTTGTAAGACCTTTGAATTTCTCTTGGATTTAAACTTTAAGCAAATATTTAACGTAAGGATGATGCATGAAATAGGATGTATTTAATTGATACTCTATAGTGTTAAACCTTATGTGTGCTGAGATACCTTATTTGTTGTGAATATATTAGGGAAAATGTACTTTAGTCAAACTAAGCAGGTAAGTTTATTTTCACCTTTAAATTTGTAAATACACCTTCACATTTAAATTAAGGTACATGCCACTAGATGAGGGTGAGCAAAGTTTAAAAATATTAAACTTTACAAAAATGTATAAAATGTTTGAGATATTTTTAAATATAGTCACACTTGACATAATACACATGTAGATTATTATGACAGCACTTACTATTTTTATCACAGTTTTTCGACCTCCAATTACTGACAGAAAAGAGTTTTTATGCAATATATTATGACAAATTATAGGTGATTTTAGTCAATTGTTAGTGACTAACACCAGCTTAAATCACTTTATTTGTTTATAACCAATAAACCTATAATTAGTAAACTTAGTCAAAAGTTATTAAGAGATTGTTTTTCTGACTGATTTGACAGACAGTCTGCTATAACGGTTAACCTATCATAAACTAGAGCTATCATCTTCAAATTAAACATTTTTTTCTCATTTATAATATGTTAACATTTAATCTTACATATTATTTTCAAGTACATCTTGTATGATATAAAGAAACAGCCATTTTTAAATGCTATTTTATATTATTTACAGAATGATTGAGATGAATATATAATCTTTGTTGTATAAACATTGTTAAAGGGGCGTGTTATTTAAAAAAAATTGCTTCTATAGAGAACCAGATGAGAGAACATACGGTAAATTTTGATAGACGGTTTTAAACACCTAAATTATAATAAAGCAGTTCTGGAAGAAGTATTATTTAATAATTCAATAATGATATAGATATCAGTGTATATACTGCCATTATGGTGGCATTAAGATGATTGATTGCATACATCATGCATGTATTCTATGCATAATGAGGGTCCTTCCATCCATAAAGTTTTAGTTCCTTGTAAAGTTTTATGTTTTTAATTCTTCTAACATGTATCTATTGAACCGTGTTATCTATCAAAGCATGCATCAATGAAGTAGACAGACAAGTCAAGATGTAATGTATACTTGGTTGGTTGGGGTTGTTACATTTAACCTTTGATCCATCTGTAGTGTAAGAGTAAATCATAAGTAAGTGGGTGGATAGGGGTTGGGGTCACTTGTGTGAGATGGGCTTTTATTAAATTACACTGCTAAATCAATATTTTGGAGAAGGGTATTTTAAATTATTAGTAATGTCTTCTTTTTAAAAATAAATAACAATAGATCAATTATTGAAGAAGTGATCTAGACTAATATAATACCAAACTGATCTTTTTATCTAACATTGGAGATAAACCAGCATAATTGCATGGACACAACTCTTTTATGTCAGAAAGAACATAAATGATTGCATTTATCCTTTTGAAATTCTCGCAACACAATACAAAAGAAGCATTTTTGTCCTTTTTAATTTTCCCTTTTTATCTACCAAGGGGCATAATACATGTATCCATGTGTTAAGATCTTGGAGGTGGTTTTTGTAGTTTACAATCCAGATCATGGCAGTAAGCCACTTTGAATTCATCATTGCCACATCATTCCTGAGCAGACTGTCAAGCAGTTAACTAGTACACGTGCCTTCAGTCTTTCGCAAGGAACTGATATAACTTCTGTACATGCCAGAGCAAAGAGGTACAGGGTGAATGACTGTAGAGAGGATTTCATGATCAATCTCAACAAAAGTGACCCTAAAAGTCCCAGAAATCGAACCCGGGTCACCAATTTCACAGTTCAAAGCTCTACTAACTGAGCTACCTCGACAATGCTGTTAAGATGTTGGTGTTGGTAGTTTTCTGTCCCAATGATGGCAGTAAGCCACATTGAATTACCAAAGTACAGTTCAGCCACAGCATCATTCCAGGGAAGGTTGTCAAGCAGTTTACCGGTACTAGTTGCCCTCACTTCTGATTACTTCTGTATTATGGCTAAGCAGAGTTACATTGCAAATGACTGTAGAATCACGCTCAACAAAAGTAACCTGCACCATCCAGCAATTGAATCCAGATGACCTGATTAACAACAGATGGCACTGTTATGTCCCTCTGTTTAAATATAACAAGAGGCATAGTCCTGGGTATTCAAATGTTTTGATATGTCCCACTATAATACATATAACTAAGGTTGTAACTCTGGGAGTACCAAAGATGTTCATATGTTCGTCAATTTATTCACATCACACCTATCTTAAACATACACCAGAAAAAGCATCATAATCATGCGCGGATCCTTTTTATATAGTACAGTATTACAGTACAGTAGTATTCTTGTTTCTCATATTACCATCATCATTATCAATCATCATCATTGTCAATAATCATCATTGTCAATAATCATCATCATCATAATCATCATTGATTTTATTATTATCATCATCATTAGCAGCAACATCATCATTCATTTTTATTATTCTTAGTTTATTGAGTAATGGCAATGGAGTAGTAGGGGATAAAGCTTTATTACAAAATTCCTATTATAAGCCTAGTGTCTTTAAGGGTGCAAAGGCAAAGGCATATCCTGTTTACTTGAAGTAGGTCATAAGGGTCTTATATCTATAATCAAATCTTAAATATAAGGAAGTTTACAGGAGATGTGAAACTTTTCAAGTATTATCATAATTGTACAAACTTCCTTTTGTCCAGGGTTTACTGTGTATGACTACTTGTTGTTTGATCAATGGGATAAAAACAAAAATCTAGGCAATGAAAGATATTTGGTTTTATGTTCCTTGTAAAGATATGTTGCTGTTTTAAGCTGTTTGTTGTTCAACCTTTTTACAGAATACAATAGTTAGGATATCCTTTCAAATTAGCATTCACATTTTTTTGCATGCACATAACAAAGGTTACAGTGTGCTTTGCTGCATCATAATTATGTTATTACCTATTGAGATTATTCAGTTGAAACTTCAAAAATGGCTTCTGAGTAAGAATTGTAGGTAACTGAGAAAGATCCATAACTCTAGCATTGATTTTTGCCAAATTACTTCCCTTTATAAACTATGAAAATTCCTGCCCTTGCTACTATCAAGCACTAAGAAAAGTAATGCCCTGTATCCATTTGGCAGATTTTATTTACCAAATTATATTCCCTATCTTTTTTGTGTAAAATCTAATTCAGTAGATTGTATTTTTTTCCTCAATTGTTATTTTTGATGAAGGTACAAGAAAAAAAATCTTTTAAATGTTGAAACTAACATATTTTTAATATCAGTTATATACATTGTACATATATAAGTCTGGCCTATATAAGTGCTTGAAAACAGCTACTAGATACATGCTGATCATAGTTTGATCAAATTTGGTGGAAATCATCTCTAAGTGGCTGGTTCCTGTCTCGATAATTTGTACAATACCATTGTCAAATGTCTTCAACAATTAATCACTTATTACTAAACTTAACTTTAAAACTGACCAACACTTGTTTGGAAAGTTTTGTTTTGAGATGCAATTGTTTATTGTGACTTACAATAGACCTAACGGAATGTTTTGTAAAAAAATAAGCTGGGTCATACATATATAAGTTATTGTTAACTTTTGTGATGCAAGTGGGTTAGTGTAGAAACTTAACGTTTAACAGGATATTGCAATATTCATCTTTCTTTTGTGTATATATATCAGGATTGTAAGATATTTTATATTGTTACAATCATGTACATTGAATTGTGAAGATAACTTAAGCATCTTTTCCGAAAATAGTTATATCTATATGTATATTGCCAAACAAAGTTGTGATCATATAGAATAGAAATTACATATGATTCTATTTAACTCGGATTAAGTGACAAACTAACAAAAATTGATTTAACTTACATGCAAAAAGAATTATTGAGATATATGATCCAGATAGCATTTGTACATGTATCAAGTTTCTGTTTTCGTGAGTTATATAACTTATACTACAGAAGATTAGAAATAATATGATAATTCTAGATGGTTCCATGTATATCAGATGCTGAACTTTACTAGTGATTGAACTATATACAATGTTGCTGAGAGGATAGACTGTGCCATCTTGGAGGCTATGTGTTGTATGTGTACAAATTATACTGAAATAACTGAAACAACAATTTGTTGAAGTATATGAACTATGTGAATAATAAAACAAGTTCAGGCCATGCAAATTAGCTGGATGACATAAGTTTTCTTCATTTAATGTATGGATTTGTAGATAAAACTCATGTTTATATGTGTAATATGGATAATATATAAACATTGAAGTTTTATGCCTGCCCAAAGAGGAAGTTTTACTAAATAATTTACAATTTGCTTTCATATTTGAACGTTTATATGATATCAGTCTAAAAGTTGATTTAAGAATACTATAACAGTTGATGCAATAAAGCATTTGAGGAAAATAAAACAGTATACATTGAATGCAATTTACTGATAAGCAGTAATGTATGGGTATGAAGTGACAAATTAGAGAATTATTTGACAATTTTTTTATGTTAAAGATAGCAAGTTTAACTACCTTACAATTGACAGTTGGATTTTTCAGACCAGATAGAATAGAGATAATAAAATTATTACAAAGGGGATGTTGTAAAAATTGCTCTTCAATTAGGAAGTGTAAATCTGAGCTGCAAAGTTGAAAATTTTTATGGAACATAAGTGTTTAATACAACAGAGAGTATGTTAATCATACATATAACATACTAATGTGAAGGGAATCTCTGAATTCGGAGCAATTATTTTGATTTTGTATATCATGCTTTATGGAAAATAGAACTGTGGACACTGCAAGCTACTAACAGAATGATGGAATTATTGAGTGTTGATAAGGTGACAAACTTCTTATAATTCATACTGATACATTCTTGTAATGACCTTGACTTTTACACATCTTATTTTGCCTGCCTATCCAAATGTTATATTGTTATGTTATTATTCACTATAAACTATATTCAAACTTACATTGAATGCATATAAACTAAATATTGACATTTCATCTTAAGAATATCTAAATTATAAAACCCTTGCAAAATATTTCATTTTTGTATTCTCTCTGTTTTTGCAATGTCAATTATATAATAATAGGTATCACAGCTTCTAGCCTTACCTATGCAGAATTTCATTATATACAGTTACAAATGGTAATAAGAGTTACTGCCCTTTGTTATTTATTTTTATTTTCTACATGAAGACCTAAAAATATATTTTCAAAGCTTTAATGCATCAAGCTGCATGCAAAAAAACCCACAGAAATATCTTTTTATTATGCAGACTGGAATAAGTCCTATTTCTAAAGTAAAATATTAAGAAGTTGGTACATGTTTAAAAAATATATAAATATTCATCATACTGGACACTTTGTTTATTAAAAATATGACAAAATATTATACTGAGTAAATTATAATGCCCATAAGCCTTTTATAGCACTATATATATTTTATTTTCACAAAAATAAGCACAAATCTGGAGGCTGGTTGCTTAATCTACCAATGTAATGATAGAAGACCAAGATCAGCCAGAGCATCAGTGTCGTCTGATCATGCCGTCTGCACTGTCAGCTTTTCAGTCTGTTCTTATTTTGGAATTTTCCTGAAAAATGACTTACACTTTTGACAAGATTGAAAATTTATCCAGGACAAGTTCATTAAATAAGGGATAATGATTTCATGTTTACACTTTTTTAGCATGAATAGTTTAATGTATCAGATGACATAAATAGTAGTTGTAGTTTATAATACATGTGTAACTCCATAGTGCATACATTATTGCACAATTTAGTGGTTAAACTAATTTGAATTGATCATAATAAAGTTTTGACGTTTAAGTGTAGTTAATTGTTTACAATCTTTTATATGTAGTTAAATGACAATCCTTAGTACCTTCCTGTTTAATAATTAGTCACAGACAGGTAAAAATGATTTCTATTTGTTTACCATATATGGTAAAAGTACATATCTGTATATGATATACACCGAGTGCTGAGTCATGGAATCATGTGTAATGTAGAGTTAATTGTTTTAGCTAGTGTTTCTTAAGTATCAGACTTAAACAATTATGAATAAAAGTAGAATCAAGTGCAAACAAATAGGGAATTTTGCCATGTTAACATTTTTGAATGACAGTCAGTTTTAAACACATTTTACCTCAAGTAATATTACTGTGCTGTATTAATTATTTAGCTATACTATAAATGCATACGAGATATCTTTACAAAATAAAAGCAACTGTATACATTGATAACAGATAGAGCTTATTCGCTTGAAACATTTGGAAAATATATTTCTAAATCTTTATCTTTCAAGGACAACCAAAATAATATCCGTCTTTATCCATATTTCTCTTTTTCTACATTAATTCAATGTGGGCGAAGTAGAAATATAAAATATGGCTCGACTCAACAGGTAATTCATGTGGGGGTTTTGTTTTACCAAATTAAGGTTAATATATCTTCGTTTATCAGTGAGTTATATATCGTTAATGGTACCATGAAGTGCAGATCACTGTGAAAGTTATCGCACATTATTGTACGGACTGTAAACATGGTTATCTTATCGTATAATATCAAACAAATATAAAAAAAGATTTCAATTTATAATTAGATGATGACTAATAATCATGTTATATTTTGAAAGCCGGACATAAATTAAGAGCCTATGATATATTATTCTATTCTAAGTGTGATAAAAAGTACATGTGATTTGTAAATAACCTCTGTGTCTAAACAATGCATTTCTACAGTGATATTATAAAACTTTTCAAAAAAGGAATTGACCAACATAACTGTTGTTTAACTGTAAGTATTGGCTGAGGAAAACATCAAGAATTGTTTTAAAGAAATATGCTGTCACTTGGTCAGAAGTATGTTCAGAAAATGTGTAAAACAATTTATAAAACATATACTCAACTAGTATAGAACATGCCTGTTTTTTTAGTGTACCGGTTAAGTGTCTAGTAAAGTGAAAGCAGGACAAATAAGGTCACGATGTTGATAGTTGTTATTTATGCCTCAAGCATAGGTTAATGCAGGTTAAATTTTATGTTCTACTTACTTATAAACACATACATACAATATGAAACAACATCAAAAATCTAGAAAATAGCAATATCTGATATAACTACATGTACAAGTTAGAAGGGTCCGTGTTAATTTAAGAGTCTTTATATGAACTGTAATTACTTTCTTTTAAGAAGTTTGTGAACCAATAATGTTCAGTAGTAAGTTTATTTTAACCAGGATAAAACTTTTGAAAATGTTACAATTATGCTCACATAAAATGATGAATGCATCTTTAGACAAATTATTAGTAGAATTACATTTCTTAACCAGATCTAAATTACCGCTTAATATATGATAATTTTTGTGAAACTTTTTAACACATTCATAAAACTAATAACTTTCATATAAGTCTTATTGTAACTTTTGAAAGATCCTGTACATGTGTATGTATATATTATATACCCGTAAACACGTATAATTATATTTGTTAAATTGAGTTCAAATTTTCATTCTACACTGTTTTATACATAAGTTAAGAGATTTTATGCTTTGCTGTATATATATAATTGAGGTTTTTTGACAAGACTGGTCTGAATTTCAGATCATCCCCCACTCTGTTTTTCCTGAATAATAATTCTAACTGTGAAAAATGACTCAAAATTGGAAAATGTTGCAATGCTTCTCACTAAAATTGAGATAAAATAGTACAAAAATATGATTTTCAATATATTTCTGAGTAAATTTCTTATTATCTTTTTCTTATCTTTCTGTGTTTAGTGCCCCAGCTGATCTATGTATAAAAATAGAATTTCAAGTAATACACCCCTTTCTAAGACATTATATGCCAAAAGTATTTGAGTATTTTATACCTAAGCACTGTATGAACACTGATTGTCTCCGACTACATGAATGTGTTTGTATATATTACAGACAATGGTTGACGTTATACCAGCAGACACAGATGACATTCCATCAAAGATACTGGAGGAGACATGGGAACTTCCCTTTCAAGACGAGTGTGATGACATGGACCTTGTATGTATTTTATTTCTATTTAAATCATATATTTTATCATTTAACCTTTTCCTTCATGAGCATATTGTGAAAAATGGCCGTTGTCATTGAAAAGCCTCCTGTTACAAGTTCAAACTGCTACGAAACTATGAAAAATGCTTCAATACTGATGAAACTTGGCACAAATGTTGACTGGACCATAGCCTCTGTAACAGCATGCTCAATCGTAAATTTCCTGTTACCATGGCAATGGGGGGACATCTCAAAATTGCGAAAAATCATTATTTTGCATTTTTTTTTTTTATCAAAACTAATTTCAAAGTGCCGCAACTTCTCAATGGATTGAGATAGAGTAAAAGGCTTTTCGATGTTGGTTACTAGTTACCCTTAGGCCATTTTTAGCACATGTCCAAAATTTTCTTGGCGATGAGGGGTACTGCCGCCCCCCTTCAAACCGTCCAAACAGAAGGGGGCAAGTCCCCCTTCTGGCAACCCCTTGATGAACCATTTTGATGGAGGGCGGTGCCGATAAAGTGATCACTTTTTTTAACAACATTTCTCAAACGAAAAACAGTGTTTTGGGTCTAAATAGGGCATTTTTTTACTGTTTGATGCCTTAAAAAGGGGGATGGCAAAAAGCCGTCAAAACACCTCTATATGAAGTAAAAGGTTAATTAGCTCAACATTTCGAAGGATATTGTTACAGTCATGTTGTCTGTTGCCGTTGCTATCTGAAAACTTTAACATTATTTTTTATTTCTTAATGTATTGTCTTCATATAAACACGATTTAGCTTTTACAACCCTTTTTACAAGACCTTTTACAACTCGATTTGCAGGACTTTCAAAAGACTAGGTTAAACTCGACCTTGACTTTGACCTTCAGGGTCAAATTTTTAAAATTCCCTTGATTTTACTATCATTGGCTGTAACTTCAAAAATATTATGATATGTATGAATGTCTTCATACATGGACACAACAATCCTTTGGTCAAGACCTTCATGTACATCAAATTGATTATATCCTTCTACATCAATGGGCTTGAATGTCAAATTATTGAATTTTGCTAATTTGCTATAACTTTGTTATTTATAAATGGATTGTCTTATACAACAACTTTAAAGACAATGTCTTAAGGTCAAACTGACTTGTTGACTTGTTATGATATCACCTTGACCTTCACCATCAAAAAAAAAAAAAAGTCAAATTATCAAAATGCTTGATTTGTCAGAACTTTGTCACTTATTTATGTATTTGATTCTCGGAAAAAAAGAATACTTATGACAAAAGTGACTTGATTAATTCAAATGTAAATGTTACCTTTAAAGACCTTGACCATCAAGGTCAAATATAAAGTTTAAGTTGCACATGAAAATTATATTTACAAGGAGTATTCTTTACTACAACATTCTTCCTCCTTGACTTTGGAAATAAGAAAAAGTTGAGCTGCTAGGCTGTGGCTCTTGTTTATTTTGTTCTATTGCATTAAAATGCATTGTAAATGAATCTATGTAATTTACATCAGTGATAGGTAAAATGATAATAATGCTGCTGTTCTATTTGCGGCAATGTCAAACTTCATCGAAGTTTTTCATTGTTTTCTTCATGAAATATAATTTTCATTATAGATATATGTAAAGAATGTCATAGTGATAGAGTTAACAATCTTATTTCTTCTTTTTACAGCCTGACTCTGACCCTTCTGTTATAGTTGTGAATGAACCTGAAATTCTTGCTGATTTATTCAGTCAAAAGTTACATGGCTTTGATAAAGAGGAAAATATAAAATCTGACCAGCAACAGTATCAGTGTAGAAAGTTTTTCAAGAAACTTCGGATGGAGGTAAATGAAAGACTAATGTCCGACAGTGATACGTCGAGATCGTCAGCAACAGAAATGGAGACAGATAGCGATGAGGGCTGTTACCACGTTCTAAGAGAGGCACGTAAATTAAGAAAGAAGATGATGAGAAGGCGAAGAGGTTTGTTCTTTATTTGTAACGTAACCTTTGCAGATATAAGCATAGTTTTATCTTACAAGATACAGGGATGTGGAAATGTCATTTTTTTTCAACTTGCCCACAGACAAGTTGGGCAGAATTTTAGCTTATCTGCAGCTTAACTTTACTTGCTTATAAAAAAAACCCCACAAAATATTGGCAGATATGTGTTAACAAAAGTTAGTAAGAGGTATGTGAACAGATTTCCTTTTGTAAAGACCAGACTACATTTCTGCATTCTACAATTTTTTTAAGGCAATGAATCATGTCCGAACTATCATCCTTTTGGTGCTTATGAAATCTGAACATAACTCATTCTTTTTGTATCTTTATGATTAAGATGAACATTTTTTCTGGGACAATTTCTGATTCTTTTGGATATCACATGGCTAAGAAAAGCCAAATCTAAACACAAAAGTCAATGTGTGCAATTGTTAAAAATTGAGCCGAAATGCTTTTACAATTGTAACAAAATGTGTATATTTAAATTTACTTTAACAATGAGTGGTTGCCTTCATATAACCTTCAAATATCTAAAGGTTTGCTTTCCAATGGCCTTTAATCCTACAAGAATTCCCTAATGGGGTGAAATTATTGATACAAAAAAGTTAACTAAGATTTCATAACATATAAAAGGATAGAAATACAGTATTTTTTTCTAATGGCTCAGATATTTCACTTGTCCATGGCCAAGGTTCTTTGGAAAATTCTACTTGTTTTTCGCTGTCCTATAGTACCAAGTGGAAGTGGAACATGTTGGACACCTCTGCTTTACAGAAGATGGCTACTGCCTTAGCTGGTATGCACTAATGTGTGGTGAATCAACTTTTCTAAATAAAAAAATGCACAGGGTAACAAATTATGGCCGCTCAAGGATACATACATATAAAGTAATAAACTAAAATTTATTATGTGAGTTTTATTGAAGAATATTATATTTTGCCAATATGGTCTTGTCCTAATTGCATAATTATGTATCTATTTATTGTCAACATATCTTTTAAGTATTATGAATATGACATATGCATTGGCTTATTAATTATAAAAGGCACATTATGCCTCAGATTCCATATTTTGTTACTCTTTAAAAATGTCAGACATGTGTTTAATAATGTTTTTATAAATTAAAAATGGATTAAGAGCACATAAAATGTTTAACAACTTAAGAAAGAAGGGCCGAACATGCAGTAATGTGCCATAACAGTAGCAAAATGTGAACAAAGTAGTATTTTCACTTCCATACAAAACAATAAGTCACTACAAATTATACCAATTACCAACAGAGTAAACAAAGTGAAACATAGTTCATATATATGGCAGATGAGTATTTTTTGTAACCTGTAACAAGATACCAAAAATTAAAAAGTTTCTGAGAAATGAAAATGAGATAGCATTTCTGAAACATAGTGGGGCCTTTACATTACATGAACTTAGATTTAGTCATGTGCAGGAATGACAGTGTTGTTACAGAAAACACTGACTTTTTAATTAAGTAAATATATTTATAAAATAACAAATAGCAGAGACTTAACTATCAGTAAACATTTAGGTAATTGGATGTTCAGCTATTCCAGGATTGTGCCTATCAAGCTAGCTTTCGGAACGTCGGTGGTTCTACTCAGGTGCCCGTTCGTGCCTGAAATAATGCAGGGAGGGGCACCTGAGGTCTTCCTCCACCAGTAAAGCTGGAACGTCGCGATATGACCTATACTGTGTCGATGTGACGTAAAACCTAATCAAACAAACAGGATTGTGTGATCAATTTTTATCAAAAATCCAACCCCTAATTTGTAGGAATACCCTATAATCACTGGAATACTATATTCATGTTCTCAATTGTCCATTGATCTATTTTTATTGTCACATTTATTTCATGTAATCAACTGTCAAAAATGTAAAATGCTGTTATAGAGCCAGAAAATGTAGTAGAGAATGTCTGCAAAATTTTAAATATTCTGTTTTGATCCCTTTATCATCTGTTGTGTTAATTAAGTAAACATGTTATATTCTTTCTTCTTGCATAACTTGCGTACTATAATTATGTTCAGTTTTATCAATTTAAGCAGAAAAATTATTTGTAAAGAGGATAGTTCATTTGCACACATTGACATTTATATTATATTATCAAAGGGGAATAATCCAAAAAAAGTACAAAGCCATAATAATAATAATACATAAATAATAATAATAATAAAATTTCAAGCCAACATCTATCTTTCAGTTAAAACCTCAATAAAAAAGCATTGAAAAAAATAAAGGGCAGTAACTTCAAAATAATTAAGTTATTATTCTTATGCACTTCTCTTCTCTACAAGAAGATCTATCCATTTATGAAGTTTCAAAAATTATGCAAATAATATAAGTCAAGGGTAATGACTCAAAGAAACAATGGGCAATAACTAAAAAAATTTGAAGGCCTTTAATGAAATCTTTAATGAAATCTCTACCTATAAAATGTCAAATGATAATTAACTGAAACACAATTTGAGTATTTCTCCAGCAAAAAATAAGCATAAAATATAACAAAGGGCAACAGGTCAAAAATTATTAAAGGAAGAGTTTTCATTGTTGTACCCTGCACTGCATTCCTCAATGAGATAATTTTATCCATCTACTATGAAGTTTCAAGTTGACATCTCAAATACATCTCAAGGTATGCTTTGGATACCTGCTGCCCAGGTTTGAGCGAGGGCCTGAAGTACAACACCTTGGGCACATCACCTTCATTATTTTGAAATTGAATAGATTAATAAAGATTGTTTTCAAACCTTGCAGATTTTGAATTTTCCCTTCAAGTTGTCAAATTCCCAATGTGATGGACCCTGACACTTTTTCCCAAATTGTGGAAAATATTACTGTGCATGCAAGACTCAGGCCACCTAGGTCAAAGGTCACTTGATCGTTGAGACATTAGTGTATGTCTCAAATATTCCAGATCTTCTGCATGTCTAATGGAATTTAATCATTTATTTTTACACATGACCAACATTTGTACAATATGTGTCAGATGCAAGTCACGATGTCATAGTTTGTGTCAAAGGTCAATGTCACAGTAGGGATTTAAACATATTGAAAAAGTGTATTTTAATACATGTATATCCTTAAGTACATGCAGATCTGGTTATGCCCCCACTTCAAAGAAGAGGGGGTATATTGTTATGCATTTGTCTGTCTGTCGGTCCGTAGACCAAATGGTTTCCGATCAATAACTAAAGAACCCCAAGGCCTAGGCTCTTCAAACTTAGTATGGTGATTGGTCATGACCAGTAGATGACCCCTATTGATTTTGTGGTCAAGGGGTCAAAGGTCAAGGTCACATTGACCTTGTAAGTAAAAACGGTTTCCAATCAATTACTAAAGAACTCTTAGGCCTAGGAACTTCAAACTTGGTATGATGATTGATCATGACCAGCAGATGACCCCTATTGATTTTGGGGTCAAGGGGTCAAAGGTCAAGGTCACATTGACCTTGTAGGTAAAAACGGTTTCCGATCAATAACTAAAGAACCCTATTTATTTTGGGGTCAAAGGGTCAGTGTCATATTGACCTTTTACTTAAAGACGGTTTCTGACCAATAACTCAACAACTCAAGTTGCCTTGGTTGATATTTTTATATTAAACTAAAAATGCTTTTGGTATACACATTTGAAGATCTTATGTAATATAACAATTTGGCTGTCATTAATGAGGCCTACATGATTCATAAAATTTTTGCATATATTATTTGGTAAGACTTGTAATAACTTAAATTGCTGCACACAACCTATGGGGTCACAATAATTATTACCTTTTATTACATGCTTTTCGGTGGTTTATAGAAATATATCAGTGATATAAAAACTGGTAATTTCACTGTTTGAAACGGTGAAATTACCACTTTGATAATTTCACTGTTTTGAATTTAAGCCCCTTACGTTGTTTCAGTGAAATATCAGCGTGCACAGTACTGGGTACCAACTTAATGACGTGACGTCGTAAATGACGTCACGTTGTATTATTATTTGCCGCGCATTTCATTCAGTATTAGGTTTAATGTCTTTTTAAAACGTTTCTTTGCATTTAATAAAAAGAAAATTTGTTTAGTTAGTGTAAGATCGAAATATATTTCACCTTGTGAACACCAAAAGTTCATATTTCACTCGTGGCTGCGCCACTCGTGAAATATACTTTTTGGTGCTCACTCGGTGAAATATATTCCGATCTTACACTGAACTAAACAAATATCCTCTATGTGACTAGTCATTACCAGTAGATACGTAAGATAACCCTTATTAATTTTTTGTTCATTGGGTCAGAAGTCATGCATAATAACCTGATCACATGACTAGTTGGCTGCCGATAGGGAGCATACATGTTTTACAAACATATCTTGTTAATATGTCTGGTCTCAATATTTGACCACCATATAAGCTAGTACAAACCAGTATAGAAATTGTTTTCATATATTCTGTAGTTGGATTTGCGCCCTGACTATTATAGACCCAGTACCATGATCTAAAGGACAAACACACAGAAAAAGCTTAAATAAAGAACACTATAAAAATGCTTATGCTAATATATGGTAAAAAATGAGATTCAGGGTCCTTTAATTTTCAAGACACAGCTCGAGAACCGAAGACTTACATAAAGAACACTATAAAAATTCTAATGCAAATAATTTATGTGCTAGATGAAATTGGATTTGGAATTTAAAGTTTGGGCCCCTTTTCAAATAATTATGCATTCATAAATTAACTTTAAAACCTTTAAAGAAAAAGGAAAAAATAATAAGTAAAGTTTTAAAGCTATTAGCACAATCTGGTTATTGTGACAGACTGACAATGCAACTTTTTCCTGTTTTCTTTTATAAATTGATGTTTTTTATTGTTGAAAATTAATGTTTTAATTAATGTAATTTACTTAAGTATCATCACAGAGCTATATTTAAGGCCAATATTTTAATTATCTGTATTATAGGTATAAGTCTCCAAGCTTTTATATA